GGGGAATTACACACTGTGTGTGTGTGTGGGGAGAGAGAGAGAGAGAGAGAGAGAGAGAGAGAGAGAGAGAGAGAGAGAGAGAGAATATGACCTCATTAAAAGGAAGAGACATTATCTCTGGGAGGAATATTCTCCACCTAACAACAAGCCCACCAGCAAAGCTGGTCTTCTGAGAGTTGAGAGGGAAATGGGTTGATGAGCCCTTGTAGGTGAGACTGAGCCCAGGGAAGAGGCCTGTCTGTGGTAAAGCCAGCTATATTCTGTGGCTGCAGAGATACAGCAAATCACAGGCAAGTTACTGTGATTTGACCTAAAGGTCAATTAGGATAAGATACCCCAGAAAAAGGGGGAGAAAAAGATGAAGCTACCAAATAGGAGTGATTTATATCTTATCCTTCCCAGATGGGCCACAGACATATCAAATCATCCTGGGCTACACAGCCCTTACTTCTTCCCACACAGACTCAGAGCATCCTAGTGAATACATGGAGAGAACTTAGAGTCAATGCATTTAGGTTGATATGGAATAACAGTTATGACTGAACTGCTGTCCCTCCTCAATACCAGAGTAACTGCCACACCTTTACACAGCTTGATTGACTAGGGGTCTATTCTGTTCAGATGAGGGGAACTATACACACATAAGCAACTGGGTATCCCAAAGGACAGGCTCTATAGTCCAGAGTCAGGAGCTTCATGGTAGAGCCTTAAAAGATAGTTAGACCCTGACTGGGGTCTAATCCTGATCTAGGATTCTAGAAAAGTTTTATCAAGGTCAAAGTCTTTGAGGCCACTAAGGGAGCAGCAGGTATGGTCAGTAGACTTAGGTAACAGAATAGAGGGAGACAGACTTAGAGAGGGAAGTTAAGCTAGGTTATAGGTCTCTGAAGAGCCAGAAGTTTCCCTCCCATTCCCCACTTGTCCAAAGACTGAACCTACCTTGGACAGGAACCAACCTGCAGATCCCCCCTTGTTATTATGGCCCACATTGATCTTCATTAGCTGTCCCAAATCCAGGGCATCCAATGTGAACTTGTCTTCAGCTCCCCTTTCAAAGTTGTCCTTTTCATTTTCCAGCCTACGCTCCCCTGAATGCACAGAAGCAAGAAAGTCACAAAAAGACCAGAAGAGAAGAAAGAACCAGCACCGAGCCTTAATGGTCCACCCACTGAAAGAGATCCTGCAAAGTCAAGGACGGCTCCCTGTTGGGATCTAAGGGCTCCTTACATCCCTCCAGCCTCTGGAAAGTTCCAGTTTGTCTCACGTGTAGCTGGTACCCAGGTCTCATAATGGGCTTTCGGATTTCAGCCTTAGTCTGCAGTTTTTATCCCTGTGAACTGATTTGTATCTCTACCCCAAGACTTGCCTTGTTATGTCTGGTTTGCTGGTCCTAGAGCACTGACCATGGTAGCTGATGTAGGGGCTGCAGCTGGGAAGCTGGCCCCCTTAGCTCACTCTTCTGGAAGCAGTGCTAGTAACTGCCAGTAGATGCTGCTTGCTATTTAACAGAGATCTTTTTCCCTTGCCCCTTGCCACAATCCAAGGAGGTACTATTAACTCAGTCTTGCAAATGAAGGAGCTGAGACTTAGAAAGTTAAATAATTTGCCCAAAGTCATATAAGCAATGAACACAAAGTTTAATTTGTTTTTCTGCTTTGCAGTTCTGAATTACCACATTTCCATGATTTTGCATGTACATGTTATATTAGTCCTTCTAACCCCATCAAGGCATCAACTTTTTGTTTAAAACTTCCTGTGTTCTTTCTTTAGTAAATGTACATTGTAACATCCAGAAATATAGAAAATAATTCTGCATATTCATGTACCCACCACCCAGATGTGAGAAGTGTAACAGATGCAAACATTTTGTCTCCTTTGTTTCAGATCTTTCACTTAAAAATATTTCATTTGTGATTTTTATATATATGAGTTTATTGCCTGCATGTATATAAGTGCATCCATGTTGTGCAATGCCTGAGGAGGTCAGAAGAGGGTGTTGGATCCCCTGGAACTGGGAGTTACAGACAGTTGTTAGCTGCTGTGTGGGTGCTAGGAATTGAACCCAGGTCCTCTGCAAGAGAAGTGAGTGCTCTTAACCACTGAGCCATCTCTCCAGTCCCAATAATCCTTTTTTAAGAAAACAAAACCCAGTAGATATATCTAAGGCCTCACTGTTCATCTCTGCCTCCTATACCCTTCCTCATCTCCCTGTACATTCCCAGGAATCCTTTTCACATGTATGCATCCCTAAGGGAGATAGGCTACTTCTGCTTGTTCCCAATTTCTACATAAACGACAGCATAGTGCCCATCTCACTACCTCAATCCTTCATCTGCACAGTGGGGCTGGAAACAGGGCCTGTGTCACAGGATGGCTGTGAGGTCTGCTGTATTCCTACATACCTAGTACATAGGACAGCCTTAAGCCCAGCAGGCCCTGAGGCAGGGCCACTTTTGCTGGAGTTGCTCTGTTACCACAGGTCTTTGTGGAAGCTGTGTCTTTCAGTTAACATCAAGCTTTGGAGAACCCCTGTGGACACCAGTAACTAGTTCGTTCATCCAGCTGCCCTAGCAGAGCCACCCAGAAAGAGAGGCACCACAGCCTCTGCTTTCTCTTGATGTATATTTGAGCTGTTTCTGACTTGTGCTGTTGTAAAAAGCACTGAAATAGCCTTGCCTCTGCATGTTTGTAAGAGATGCTCCAACATCTGCAGGTAGAGCTGTTGGCTTGGTGTATGCTCAACTTCAGCTTGTCAGGTAAAACTGCCCTCCAAACTACTTATACCATGTTAATCCCCCCCAGCAGTGTATGGGGATTTCCATTCCCATAATCATTAACATTTGTATTTTTAAATTTTTACTCAGTATAGAGTGGTATCTCATTGTGGTTTTAATGTGCATTTCCTTACTTTTTTCTCTCTTTTTAGAGAGACTGACCATATGATTTGTAAATAGATATTATATGTTACTAGGCTATGTGTCTCTGTAATTTTTATGTTCATATCTTTTATTGCATTTTTATTTTATCTTTCCTTAGACTATTGTATTTTTATCATGCAGACATTTCTCTTGTTTTAATAGAATTTATCAATATTTTCCCTTGGGTTTTTGTGCTTTAGGTAAATTGCTTAAGAAATTCCACATCTAAAGTAAGAATAGAAAAATAAATACTTTCACATTTAAGTCTCTAGCCCATCTGGAAGCTATTTTTGTGCATAGTGAAAGGTAAGGATCTAATTTTATCTATTCTCAAGTGGTTAGACAATTGTTCAAACACCACTAATTAAACATCTCATCTTTTCCCTCTGATTTATAGTTTATAATGCCATTTATAGCATGTTTCCAGATTCTTCTGTTCCATTGGTCTATTTTGTTTATCCTTCTTCTAGTGCCACACTATTTTTGTTTTGAAGATTTATTTATTTTCATATTTGATATGCATGTGTGTGAGCCCACATGCATTTATGAGTACCACACATGCAAGAGCCTGGGTACCAGTCAGATGAGGGTACTGATCCACTAGAACTGGAGTTATAGGTGGTGATTATAGGTGCTGGGAACCAAATGCAGGTCCTCTGACAGAGCAGTAGCACTCTTGACCACCGAGCCATCTCTCCAGCCCCTACATTACATTTTTGTGTGTGTGTGTGTGTGTGTGTGGAGGGGTGCATGTTATAGTACATGTGGAGGTCAGAGGACAGCTTGCAGGAGTTGGTTCTCTCCTTCTACCATGTAGGTCCCAGGGGTTGAACTCAGCTCATCCATCTTGGTAGCAAGCCTTTACCTGTCAAGCCACCTCACCAGCTCTATTCATGCCATTTTCATTTTCAAAATTATCTTGTCAATATTTAGTTCTTTAGGGTTATACATGAATTTTATTAGTGGCCTAAGCTTCAGATATTGTCTTTTGGAAATTTGACTATAACCACATAAAAGAACTGGGAAAAACTGACACCTTAGTAAGTTTGGGTCCTTTCTCGTCCATAAACACATTTCTCCATTTATTCGTGTATTCGTGTATATCCTTCAATAAAGTTATATTTCCCAGAAAGTTCTTTCTTTAGACTCAGTCTTAGGTACTATCTAATTTCTTTTTATTTTTTAATATGCACCTATATCAATAGAACTACCAAGTTTAATAGGCACCAAAGCCAAGAAAACCAATGATGCCAGACAGTGAATTTTTATTGCACTGTTCTTTGAGCACACCAGCAGGAAGGAGCTGCTGAGTGCACATATCATGCAGTGCATAGTACTACCTAATTTCTAATTAAATAGTATATTTTTATGCTAAATGCTTAAATTGCTTGTTGTTTTAGTAACTTTTGCTCATTAAGTTTGAAACTACTTCCTTTATGAAACTTTCTCTTTCATTGGGACTGGTGGGGTTTTTTTTTTTTATGTGTATGAGTGTATTGCCTGCATGTATGTGAGTGCACCCGTGCTGTGCAATTCCGCAGAGGTCAGAAGAGGACTTCAGATTCCCCTGGAGCTGGAGTTAAGGACGGTTAGTAGCCGCCATGTGGGTGCTGGGAATCAAACCTGGGTCTTCTGCAAGAGCAGTCAGTGCTCTTAACCGCTGAGCCATCTCTCAAGTCCCATGGGCCTGCTGGTTTTTTAATTCTCCTGGATTTAATAGATGCTATTTCTTATGAAAATGAAAGTTTGCTAATTGCGTGTAGTGGCACATACCTATAACCCCTGAATTCAGAAGGCTAAGGCAGGAGAATCATTGTTATATCAAAAGACTCGAAGAAAGGGGTGGGGAGGGAGGGAGGGAAGGAGAGAGGGAGGGAGGGAGGGAGAGAGAAGAATGGGGAGAGAGAACAAAGAGAGGGAAGAAAAGAAAAAGGGAGATGGGAAAAAGACAAAAGAAAAGAAAGTTTATTTCTTCACTTTGTCTTTAGAGCTTTTATTTCTTTCTCTTGTCATTTTTTTCCAAAATTAGGACTTCCAGCACTGTGATGAATACAAATCATGATCAGCCAAAATATATCTGAGATAATTCTACTTTTTCTTCTTTAATATGCTATTGTGATAAATTAAATGAATAGGCAGACTAACGTTAACTCATTATTTAATTCTTGGAATAAATGTCATAGAGCAGGAAATGCTTATCATTTATCAATATATCTACTTACAAATTTAGTGTGCTGGTATTTTATTTAGGATTTGGGGCCTTTTTTTTTTTTGGTCATTTTAAGACAGAGTCTCCCTGTAGCCCCAGCTGGCCTGGAACTCACTATATAGACTAGGCTGGTCTCGAACTCACAAAGATCCACCTACCTCTGCTGGGATTAAAGTGGTGGCATGTGCCACCAAACCTGGCCTTTTGGTCCTTTTTAAAATTATTGAATCTAATCTATACATTTCTCTGTTAATTGTACCTGCCTCATATTTTCATCAAAATTCATAAAATAAGCTAGCATGCATTACCTCTTTCTCTGTTCTTTGAAATAATTTGTATAAGATGGAGAGTAACTATTTCTTAAATATTTGGTAGATTTTGCCTAAGCAATCTATGGGTCTGAAGTCCTGGGTGATTTTTAATTGCTGGTTTAATTGCTTTAGTGATTATACATCTCTCTGGAAACTGGCGTCTGCAAGTCCTTGAGACAATCAATGCTTCTAGGATGCTGAGATGAATGTTCAGACTATGAAGTGCAGTGACAGGCTTGGACCCCAGCTGCTTGGTTGTGCTCTCCCAGGCATGAATGCTAACAGAAAAAGAGAATTGGCTGCCAAGATTCTGGAGACCCCAGCACCAGAAAAGAGGTGAATGCTTCTTGTTAATGCAGCTTGAAGACTGTCCCCAGCCCTGCCTTTTTGGCCCTTTCCAAAGTCTACCATTCTGCCCAGCAGCTTCCTTTTCAGACAACCTAACACGGGTTGGATACTAGACACTTATACACCTGTTCAGTACTTTGAATTCCCCAACAGAGTCTGTTCCAGATGAGGAGGCAGAAGGGGGGGAGAGAAAGAGCAGGAGGAGGAGGAGGAGAAGAACAGCCTAGCAGATTATTCATATTATTTCTTCTTTCATTGATTAATTACTTAGAAATGTGCTTTTTAAATTTCTACGTGAATTGGGAAGTTGGATTTTCTTCTAATTTTAATACATTATAATCAAAGAATAGTGCCCGAGTTATTGATTCGTTTGAATTTGTTAGGATTTGCATTGTGATTTTGTATCTAGTCAGTATGTGCATGAAAAAAAAAATGTCAAGGGCCAGTGGTGCACACCTTTAATCCCAGCACTTGGGAGGCAGAGGCAGGCAGATCTTTGTGAGTTCGAGGCCAGCCTGGTCTACATAGTGAGTTCCAGGACAGCTGGGGCTACAAGGAGACCCTGTCTCAAAAAAGACAAAAAAAAAAATGTCTTGTGCAAACTTCCATTAAGTCAAGCTTATCAGCTTAATAAAATGCCTCCAACATCACCTTCTCTGGTCCATTTCTACTCTGTGTCACAATGTAGAAGCTCATTGGGAAGATTAGATTTTACAGATGAAAATAAAATTTGTATTTAACTTACCAAGACCACAGCCAGTGCAAAGACTAGAGGCACCAATATTCAGCACTCATATAAACTTTTTATCCATTTGGTGTTATTAATTACTGAGAGTGCCACATTAAGAAACCTCACACATGATTATGCATTAAGTTACACCAATAATTATGTTGTTGCTTCACATATCTGGGAATGTGTTGTTAAATTTATACAAGTTCAGAGTTGTTGTGTTACTCTCTTCATCGCTAATCTTGTGTTGTCTAGCACACCTTTATTTCTGACAGTGTAGTTCACCTAAATGTTGATTTAATGGGTGAATAGAGCTGTGCCAGCTTCTCTCCTTGTTGACGTTTTCCTGGAACATTTCATCCGGCCCTATTTATTCTCAAATCTTTTATATCCTATTTTTAAGCTATATTATTTTTTATCTTTTCATCTAATATGAGAGTACCTTTTTTTGAAACAAGGTCATGTAACTAGCCCAAACTGGCCTCAAACTCACAATTCTCTGGCACCTCTTATTTAAAAAAAAATATTTACTATTTTTATGTGTATGAGTGTATTGCCTGCATGTATGTAAGTGTACCTGTGTCATGCAATGCCCACAAAGGTCAGAAGAAGGCATCCATTGAATCCCCTGGAACTGGAGTTATAGATGGTTGTTAGCTGCCATGTGGGTGCTGGGATTCAAACCTAGGTCTTCTGTGAGAGCAGCCAGTGCTCTTAACCACTGAGTCATCTCTCCAGTCCCCCCTGCACCCCTTCTAAAGTACTGGAATTACAGGTGTGCACACCATGCCTGGCAAGAATATCTATTTTTAACTGTTTTTTCCCCTTCTATTTATGTGGTAATCGATGCACTTACTTTCGCTTTTGTCAAGCTTTCTCCTGCTTCTCTCTCATTTGCTTCTGTCGTGCTGACATTTTTATTCATTCTATTCATTTATGGGCTATACATTTCTGCTTTTGGTGCTTGCTTTTATAATTTTGATATTCATGCCTGACTTACTGACGTTTGCAGCTGCTTATTCTTCTGGAGGTGGAGAGACAGGTTTCGGCTTCATTGTGCTTTCGCTCATCATCTGCTTTCCTTCTCAAATTCTAATTTTAAATATTTTGGATCCACACTTCCTTTGTCCTTGTATTGGTCACTATTCTGTTTTGTAGTCACTGCCTGCCTACATTAGTTACATAGTTATCAGGTTTTGTTCACTTTTCTGTGTTTGTGTGTGTGACGTGGCTTACTATGGTTACTCTGTAATCAAGCTAGCTGGCCTTGAACTCACTATGCACCCCAGGCTCACCTCAAACTCCTGATCCTATTGCTTCAGCTTCCCAAGTGCTGGACTTCACAGGTACGAGCCACCCCAACATGACCGTGACCACCTGTCTTTCCTTTTCTTTTCTTCTCTTTTTTTTTTTTTTTTTTTTTTTTTTTTTTTTTTTTTTGCCTTTTTGAGACAGTGTCTCCCTGTAGCCCCAGTTGGAACTTGCTATTTAGACTAAACTGGCCTCCAACTCAGAGATCTACCTGCTCCTGCCTCCCAAGTGCTGAGATTAAAGGCATGCACCACCATATTCAGCTCCTTTTCTTAAAGTACATCCTTTAATGGTTGTTTAAGCATGGATGGAGGACAGGTAAGCTCTGTTTCTCTTTGCTGGGATGGAAGCTTGTTAATGTCCCCCTGCCCTGGAATGATAACATTCAGTATAGAATTATAGGTTGACAAATATTCTTACTGAGAATATTGAAGATATGATTACATAAATTTATGACCTCTATTTATTAATGATGGGAATTTTCCATCAGTCTAGCTGTTATTTTTATAGAAAGCAATCTGCCAAATCTGCTTCCTTTTAGGCTCTTTCTCTTTGCTTTCAGTTTTACCACAATGCATCTAACTGTAGATTTGTTTATATGTTCTGTTCAATGAGTCATTTTGCTACTTTAAACTGAAGATTCACGTCTGCTGGATCTTGAAAAAGTTTCAGCCATTATATCTTTGAATACTTTCTCTTGCCTATGCCCCATATCCTGTATTTCTGAAACTCCTACTCACCATCCATCAGACCTATTCTTTCCTCTGCTCCCATAGCTTCTCGAATCTACTCCCCAACCCTTTTTCTACATCTAAGGATGTTGCTCATATCTATCTTATAGTTCGTGGAGTCTCCATTCAACTATTCTTTAAATTTTATTTTTTTATGTGTATGCGTGTATTGCCTACATGTATGTAAGTGCACCCGTGTTATGCAATGCCCACAGAAGACAGAGAGGCTGCTGGATTCCCCTGAAACTGGAGTTATGGACAGCTGCTAGCTGCCATGTGGGTGCTGGGATTTAAATCCAGTTCCTCTGCAAGAACAGACCGTGTTCTTAACCACTGAGCCATCTCTCCAGCCCCTCCATTCATGTATTTTTAGTTGTATTGTTTAACTCATCTACTAAGAGTTTACCTTTAATTCTTTATTCAACTTTTAAATTTGTGTTGTTTAACTCTTACCAGGCACTTATCTTTGGTAGCCATATTTTCATTTCCTGTATTTTGGGTTGATTATTTTTCCAAATGCTCTGTTTTCCATGGTGTCTTATTTTCTTTTTTTTAATGTTTTTAAAAGGTTTAAACAATTTAAATTATAGGCTTTCTCATATTGCTCCATTATCTGAAATTCGTAGGAATTTAATTCTATTATGTTGACTGAAGCTTTAGTCATGGTGGATGGTGTCCTTAGTTTGTAGTTTGGGAAAATAAACTCATTTCTAATCCTTCATCTGTGGGAATCTTGTGCAGTCTTAGAATGGAGATTCATTTGCTATGAACCAAATATTCTGGTTTGTGTTTGTTTCTGGTTATGGGGAACATTTGTTTTTTGAGACAGTCTCACTATGTGCCCCTGGCTGGCCTGGAACTCACTGTATAGACCAGACTGGCCTCAGACTCACAGAGATCTGCCTCCCAAGTGCTGGGATTAAAGGCATGGTGTGACCAAGCCCAGCTTGAACCAAATATTCTGTATGTGGGAAAAGGAGCTCTCAAATCACACATCTAATGTAAAACCAGACCTCAAGCCCCTATGTAGGATAAGCCTAAGGTATCACTTTTTAGCCATTTTGTTTTTAATTTAGAGCTCATGCAAGGGGTGTTTACTACACCCATGAGCATACATTTTCCTGGTCTATTTTTCACTGATGTCCCTGGGAACCCTTGGGGCTCTTGACTTGTGCAATTCTAATTTCAAATCCCTTGCCTCATTCCAGAACTAGGTCCCATTTTCTGGCCCTAAATGGGCATAAAGATCTTCTAGATAGTTGAACATGAAAGCTCCCTTCTTCTAAGAGCCACAACATCAATTCATAGTTATTACTTGGTTTTGAGTTTCCCCTTCATTTCTGATACCCAGAGTTCTTTTTTATTGCTTATAACTTTACCAACACATTTTTTATTCTTTAATATATTATATCCCAAATTTCTACATCTCTGTAACTTTTCTGACTACTATGTTTTTCTGCTAAATTAGCAGAAGTGAGAGAGAGTCATCTGCCTCAGTCTGCTGACCTGGACTTCCTCCCAGCACCTGCAGCTGTGTCTATACTCAGCTCTGGCTTCACCAGTGAGGCCTGGTATAATTTACCCCCGGTCCCATCCTGGTTCGTCTCACTTCACTGCACTGAATCAGACCACAATCCCCCATAACCCAAAGTAGGGCTCAAATGATCACAGAGCTTACAAAGATATAGAAATTAAGTGAGAATGAGTTGCCTGGAAGTGTGGAATTTGGGTTTATTCATAGTCTAGAATGCAGGGCAATTTTATCAAACCCCAAACCTAGGCATATTTTATTCTAAAAACTCATCATGTACCCACACATGCACACACACATACATAGTTTTGAAAGCCTATTACATATACATAAATTTTGTTTATTTACTTTTTTGCTTGTTTGTTTGTTCATTTTTGAGACAGGGTCTCCCTATAGTCCCAGCTAACCTGGGACTATATGTAGACCTCTATGTAGACTAGGTTGGCCTTGATCTCACAGAATTTGCCTGCCTCTGACTCCTGAGTGCTGGGATTAAAGGTGTACACCATCATGCCCAGTTATATACATAAATTTTATAACATGAGATAGATACTCTGCTTCCCAGGACAGGCTACAGTAAATCACAGCACAAGCAGAGTGATGCTCAACAGAGAAGCCCAAAAGGGGACTCAAGCTGCCTTCCTCTGCTGGGACGGTGAGAAACAACCCACCCAAGAAGGTGTACTGAGCACGGCTTGTGAGGAAAGGATTCAAACCCATTACCCGTGTCTCCATACTCTCCAAAGATATTGATGAAGACATCAGCATCTGTCCCTGCACCAATCATGTCACCAGTGTACACCTTGATTTCATACTTGTTACCTGGGAACAAAAACAGAGAATATCTTGGTTCACTAGGGCCCTGAGAAGAGAAGGCCACAGGTCCCCATACAAACCCATCCTTCTCCCCAGAAATCTATGTCATCATTACTGTCAATAATAGAGCAACAAAGCAGTCACTCAACATTGGTTCCAAAAGGTCATTACTAAACTCTTCGGAATAAATAAATCATACATAGTGGGGACTTTCTGTTTTCATCTACTAACATTTTCCCAAGGGGTCACTCTGAATCAACACTTTACCAATGTATCCTCGCTGGACTACTGAAATGGCTCCTCTTACCCTATGACCTTCTCTAGTCCATTGTTCACACTGTATCACAATGTAGAAATTCATTGGGGAGTTAGATTCTACAGATGAAAATAAAATTTGTATATAAGTTAAAAAGGCCACAGGAAATACAAAGTCTAGAGGTACCAATGGTGGCCAGCAAACATGTGGTGTCGACTCAATCTGGGATTAACTGAAATGAGAGAGATCTTCTTGATTGGATCACCTGAAGCTGGAAGACACACCTTAAATGTGGGTGTTACCTTCTGATGGCAGCCGGTATAAAAGGCCCACGGCAGAGGAGAACACCTGGCTTCTTGCTGCTTGCCTTCTCTCTCACTGGTGAGTTCGTCTTGCTGCTATAGACTGAAGACTAGCTGATCTTTTGGAATTCGTCAGACCTTCAGTGCCATATTGGGACTACTGAGACATCCAGCCTCGTGGACTGAGCGACTACGGATTCTCAGCCTCTCCAGTGTGGTGCAGCCATCGTTGGACTACTCGGACTCTATCCTGTGAGCTAAGCTGATAAATCTCTATACATATATATTCATTCTACAGGTTCTGTTTCTCTGGAGAACGCTGACTAATACAACGTGTTTAGGAGTTACCTCCTTAAAGACCCATATCTGCTTCCTGTATCTTTGCTGTATTCACTGAAAAATAAATTCTCTATAACCCCAAACACAGCCTCAGTCATAGACTCAAAGGGGGCAAGTTTAACACAAACTTGACAGCATGCTGAGCCCTAACTAGGTCTCCCCATCTGGAGTCTGCTTTAAGGTAGGGGATAAAGGCCTGAGGATGACATGTGTGGTTGGGGCAAGGAAACTCTTCTAGATTTTCTTTATTGCTAACAATTCTGAGAGCTGAGACAATTCCTCTCTTTCCTTCCTACATGACTTTCTACTTTGTATATAGCAAACCCTTCCTATTAGATGTGTAATGCCCAATTTGCAAAGATGATTAAAAACTACAGCTGTTCTAGCCGGCCATGGTGTTGCACGCATTTAATCCCAGCACTCGGGAGGCAGAGGAAGGCAGATCTCTGTGAGTTCAAGGCCAGCCTGGTCTACATAGTGAGTTCCAGGTCATCTGGGGCTACAGGGAGACCCTGTCTCAAAAAGACCAAAAAAAAAAAAAAACCAAAACTGCAGCTGTTCTAATTGAGGCTTTTCTGTCTACCTCCTCCCTAGACCCTTCCCTGCCTTCTGCCTCTAGCCTCCAAAGGTATTTGTCCTCTGAATTCTCCAGCTCTGCTGTCAACTGTGCTGATGACTTTGAATTTTGTCATGGGCTGCCTTGTGCTTTCTGCTGTTTCCTGAAGGTAAAGTCTCTAAGCTCCTCCAGAACTGGGTGCAGGGCTTCATTCTTCCTTTCTTTTTTAAAAATTTTTATTTATTTATTTTGGTCTTTTTGAGGCAAGGTCTCCCTGTAGCCCCAGCTGGCCTGGAACTCAACAGGTAGACCAGTCTGGCCTTGAACTCAAGAGATCCACCTGCCTCTGTCTCCCAAGTGCTGGGATCAAAAGTATGCGCCACCACGCCCAGCTCATTCTTCCTTTCTTCCTCCCCACCTCTTCCTCTCTTCTTCACTCCCTCCCTCCCTTCCACATTCCCTGGTACAGTCCTGGACCTATTCAATGTGTTGAAATGTACATTGAATCCAATTTCTTAAAACTTGAAGACCCAGAGAAGTTGTAGAGGGTAAAGGATTAAAAAGAAAAACCTAGCTCCACCCCTTTCCCACCTCCAGCACTGCCTATGGCACAGGATCATCCAGGAGAGACAATGTGCCACTGAGCTTAAAGGGGACACACAGAGAGCACCCTTCCCCAGTGCTTGGCAGTTTGTCCTTGATTGGTGAGAACATGGAATCCAAAGCAGAAGATATATTTTCTTTATAATCCTCACTCAGAAAGCTCACCAGAGTTGGTTGGGAGGTATCCTCCAATACTTGTCCACAACTTAAGGCTCCAGGAGGAACAGTTAAGAGTCTACCTCCCTTTTCTTAACCAAGAAGACCCTGTGTGACAGCAGCTGGAACCAAGGCCTTCAGAAGAGGCCAGGCCCAGAGAGCTCATGAGGAGCTGGCTTGGAATTTGGACCTCAGGCTGCCTGGGGAGTGGGTTAAAAGGCACATTTCCCAGGAGAGCTTCTGGTCATGCTATTTATAAGGATCAAGACGATCTTGGTCTAGGCTGACTAATTTCACTCTTATCACCCTCTAACTCCAGAGGTCCTGCCTGAACTTGGTTGTCTCCTTCCTGGCACGTAGACCCTCTGGAGCATTGATTTGATTCCTAACCTTTCTCAGCTCCTCTCTAGGGTTCCTGCACAGAGGCAAGAAAGCACCTCTTAATGGTGCAAGATGCCAGGGCACTGTAGCTTGTGGTACCGAGGTAATGGAGGCCCAGGGGAGGCTCTGAAGGCTACTTCCAAGCACCCGGTTGTCAGATGGGGCAGCAGGACTCCACAGAGAGGCAGGTACAGTGTAGCAGGAGGATAAGAGGAGCAGGGAAGCATTTTCAAAAAATGTGGCAGTGTTCTGAGATCATTCCAGAAGGCAGAATTGGTATCACTGGGTCAGATTATAATGAGGGCAACTTTAGCCCTCAAAAATTTTCAAATAGCAAGAAATCACAGCAAAGGAATGGGGTGTTCTCTGAGTGTATCTCCTATCCCTAGAGATGCGTAAGTAGTTACTGTGTGTCATACTGTTGGGTGGAGAGCCATCTGTCAGGGACATTGTAGAGGAAATGCCATTGATAAAAGAACATGGGGCCAGGCCTCCTTGACACTGGCTGAGGAGGAACAACTCAGAGGTGCCCTGGGTCAGTATAAGGAAGGCCTGGGATGCAAGCATCAAAGCTTCTGGGAACAGTGTCTATTTCCTAGAGAGGCAGAGCATCAAGCCAAGGAAGCAAGCAAAGACAGGCCAAGACCAGGGCTCAAGAGCTCAGAGCTGAGAGAAGGAGCTTCTGAGTCTTTCCATCTGAGGTGACAAGAGATCTGAGCCCAGGGATCAGGAAGTCAGGTAGACGTTATGGGAGGGACAGGGGTAGGCTGTCTTTTAGTCTCTGTGGAGATTTCTATGTCAAGATGGGATTATGGGTCCCTGGGTGGCTTCCTGGGTGAACAGCAGGCTTTTGTTGGTTAGGTGACTGTCACAACAAGAAAGGGATGAGAGTTGTGGCAGAGATAGGCAGGTATACCTCACAAAGCCCTTTAAAAGGCACCACAAGTGGGCAATGAAGGTCATTCATTGTTGTTTTTTTTAACCCCCTTTTCCACATTTCCTTTTCAACAGAAGTTGCCAATTTTCAGAACAAGGCCTAGTGCCCAGTGCAACCCCAGCTGGTAATTCAGTGCACTACTGATCGAAAGCAGGGTTCCCCTGCTGCTGGGAAACAGCATAGCGCCTTGAGCCTCCTTTCAACACCCAGATGTGGTCACACATATGTTAAAGTTTGAATGTGAAAGGTCCCCTATGGGTTCATATGTTTGAATACTTGGTCCCCAGCTGATGGCGCTGTTTAGGGAGGTTATAGAACCTTTAGGACATGTGGGCACTAGGCTGCAGAAATGGGTCACTGGGGACAGGGCTTCAAAGTGCTCCTGATTCTGACCCAAGCTCTCTGCTTTCCAGTCCACTGCCCTGCCTGTCAGAAGCTCCCGTCTCCTCTGAGAAATGCCCACTATGCTGGACTGAAATCCCCTGAAACCACAAGCCAATCAGCCCTTCTTTCCTTAAGTTGCTGCTGTCAGGTATTTTATCACTGCGAAATGAAAAATAACTAATACACATGGGGTTTTGTATGAAATTCACTGTGAGATCTTGCAATCAATAAAATGGCAAAACACTCCCCACCTATGATGGGGGCTCACATATTGGGGCTGCTACCCTAGCAACCTGAAACTGACCAGAATGAGGGGGAGGGGAGTAGCGGGAAGAGGAAGCCCTGAAGAAACCCCACCCAAAGGCCAGGAGGGAGTGGTGAAGCATGCAGAAAGATGATAGGCACAAAGGCCCGATAGAGGATTCCCAGGGGAAAGGGCGCATCTCGTCCATGGACTCACCATGGTGACCTGCCTTCTCAGGTGAGTGATACTAAGCATTTACGCAGGCATTTGAAGTTCACAAACCACTTGCACATCTTTGAAGTCATCTGATCCACATGATGGTCATATGATACAGGTAGGGCAGGTACCATTGATATTGTCATTTACAGACAAGGAAACCCGAGGCTCAGAAGGTGGGGCGGCTTCCCCAGGGACACACAGCTGTAAATGATGCCAGAGTTTCTTGTCTTTTGGATTCAAGGTCCTTCCTTAAGATTCCCAGTGGCTTCCCCTGCCCTGTGTCAAGGGTCAGTAAACTTTTCCTGGCAAGTTCCAGATAGGATGTATTTTAGAAGTTGTAGGCCAGTTGATCTCTGTTGCAATGACTCACCTTGCTGCACATGGTGAACTAAATGTTTGGGGTCTGGGGAGGGTGAGGAGAGTTGACTGTGAAAGAGCATAAAGGGCCAGGTGTGGTGGCGCATGCCTTTAATCCCAGCACTCGGGAAGCAGAGGCAGGTGGATTTGTCAAGGCCAGCCTGGTCTACACAGTGAGTTCCAGGACAGCTGGGGCTACAGGGAGACCCTGTCTCAAAAAGACCAAAAAAAAAAA